AATTGCCGTCAGTGAAAAAAATGGCTAAAATTTTGCGAAATCACCAAAACATCCCAATTTTCAAACTGCAACATTCCTCGCACACTGTAGTACATATAAAAATAAATAAGATAGAAACGAAGTTCATGAAATAAGCTTTTATTTGGTATGCATTATGTTTTTATAGCGGTATTGAATGAAATAACATGGCGAGTTAAATATATGCATTTTTTAGTGTTTAGTTAAGAATTTCATCGGCTGTAAGCTGAGTGGTGGGATTCCTATAGTAAGTATTCACTTAATTCTTCACTATGGGTGGCTAGCTATCAATATACACATTCTAGTTTGACAACCATTAAACCTATTGGTGAAGTTCCATACCAAACTAATAAGTTAATCAAACCAGTCTATTCACTTTTTGTTATATATTTTGCTTATTGTACCTACCAGACTTCTTTAGGTGTTTATTGTTGTAATTGGTAACTTTTTGAACTGAAATCTTTGTTTAATGCATAAATTGTTCTCATTCCGCTTCCCATACTTAGAGGTTATTTCATATCAGATAATACTTACTATTCTTATTCACCTGTTGCTTGTTTGTTACGTCCACTGAAGCAGCACTACCAAACCCAGAGATTGAACTCACAAGACAACTTACCAGGGTTTTGTAAACATTCCATACATGAAATATCCTCCATTTTAACTCCTGCAACCTTACTTGGAACATTACTAGCATTTACAAGTTCATCAAATGCCTTTTGGTCTTCAGCACTTGCCATTCAGTTAGGACACTGAGCAAAGACATCATTGCATCACTGAAAATAAAAACAGAATTTCTGATGTGTAAACAAAATATTAATTTCATGAGCCATAGATTTTTTATTTTCACAGTAATTAAGTTGGACTAAGAGTAAATAATCAAATTTGGCATATACTTCAGTATATAGGCTCTAAAAGATATCTTCTACATATAGGAAATGCTAACTAGTTTTAATATATTTAAGTGACTCTCACCACTAATATTCTTGTTTATTATGTCAGTGTTTTACAGAAATTCACATTAAATTCAGCATGTTTATTGGAATTATTATATGTTTTGCTATTCAGACCAGAATGTTCATCTTTGATGTTATATTCACATTTTGGCTGTTGTAACCTCCGGACTTTGTCCTTGTACATGGTAACTTTCTTGGAATTTTGAATGGAACCCTTTTATTCAAATTGGTCTCATTCTTCTTCCCATGCTTCGAGTTTATTTCATTTCGGTTAATACTCATCAGTCTTATTCACCTTTGTGTTGCTTGTCCGTTTCTTCCATTGAACCAGAGCTTTCAGCACTACCTAAGCCAGAGATTGAACTCACAACTGCCAGAGAACCAGATATGATTTAACAAAAATTTTAAGCCACTAGGCCATGTGTCTGTTGTAATAAATAAGTTTTATTAATTTTTGTCTGAATTTCTGGGATGATGAGTTATTATTTACACTATTTATATTTGGACTATTGTAATATAGTAAAAACTCTAGATACAAGGTTATAAAACTTTGTTTGACTAATTCATCTTTAGTACTGAAAATGTTTATTTTATTATAGTGGATGGTTACAAGTGAAAGAGGAGATGGAATGTACTTATTTTATTACCACAACTATCATCTTTATATTTGTTATCACATCATTTCTTGGACAATGGCTTAGTGGATAAAAGTGTTGGTTTGTGAATTTGGTGATATAGTAGTTGTGAGTTCAATCCCTGGGTTGGGCAGTGTGTACTTGCATTTAGTGGAAATGGGCAAGCCATAATGGAACAGTACTAAATAAAAATAAGAAATTGATGATATCCCAAGACATGAGCAGTGGAACAAGAACAATCTATCCCCATAGATTAAATGAAAGGTTTATAGTTCAGAATTTCCTGTAGGTTATGCAGATTGATATGTGCCTGAGGAAGGCTGGAGGGTACAATGGCCGAAACATTGATGAGGAAAAAAGATGAGGACAATAGTCTGAATGTAAATAGTGTAAATAAAGTGTCAGTAAATAAATAAAGAAAGTAAAGCTAGTTACCTTTAGTTTCTTATCTTTGGTATACATGTATTGAGTGCTGTGTCATATTTCATTACACGTGTCTTCAAAAAAATTTATATCTCTATACAAATTACATTTACTTTAAATATTCCTATAAATTTGACTGAAAGAAAAATACATATTATTTGTATATTCTTTTTCTTACATAGAAAAGGGAGCTCTGTTTTAAATACTTTCATAAGTTTTTAATACACATAAATAATCTTTTTTTATTTACTTATCAATTAATAGCTTGTTTCTTAGCAATTTTTCAAAATGGGTACTTTTTTAAATCTCAGGAGAATTCAAAATAAAGTAATTTTTATACAGTTGGAAGTAAAAAGGTTAATATGTGAAATTATAAACTTATTTTAGTTTCTTTTTAAGGAAACTCAAAGGTGAAGTATAATTCACATGATTGCTTGTTTTAAGTTTCTGTTGTTGTTCTTTACCCATAATTCCTCTCCTGACCTTCCTTTTCAGAGTAGTGTCTACAATAGTACAGACACTCGAAAGCATCATAGCCATATTGGCTTTGTGAAGCGCCCCAGATTAAAGATGAGACAATACGTAGGTCTATTTTGTCAGAGTTATGCAAGTCTTCAGCATTAAAATGGAATGTTGCCATCTGTAGTTCCTCTTTTTAGTTGTGTTTAATGACAAGTTTTTTTCTATTAGTTCACTCTAAAATTAACATTCACAAACTAATTTTTCACTGCTTATCTAGTAAATGTCTTTCCTCTTTCTTATGGCATGTCCTTTGAGGATGTTAACGATCATGGCTCTCCACAACTACCTGTTTTTGTTTCTCTAAATAACTCTTGACCTTTTAGTATTTTTTTTAGTAGTATTTATTTATAGTTTCTTTCCAGTTACTCTAAAATTTACCCACAAAACTCATTTTTTTAATGCTTATCTAGTAGACATCTTATCTTTTTCATATGCCATGTCCTTTCTAGATGTGAATGACCATGGATCATCACAACAGCCTATCTTTTGTTGTTCTAAGTAACTCTTACCCATTTACTACTCCTCTTTGTTCTTGTTCTTGTTTTGCCACCTTTCCCCAGGATTTTCTGTTATTAAATTCTTTACTTTGCTTCTTGTAATTATTTTCATGAAATTCTTATTGAGTTTCTTGCATGCAATTAACATTTGATAGATTGCTTTTGTAATTCTTGCCTATTAGCTTTTTCCCTAGTGCTAAACCTTATTAAATACTCTAATGGATTATCTTTTATAAACCAGGAAGGATGATATGTTTGTTCATATATGTAACAAGCTTGCGTGGAAATGTCCTCGAACTGCGTGTGTGTGTTGTCGCCGGACACACCTTGGAGTACCATAATGGACTCGACCAAGGACTATAAGAAGATGCGCGAGTTGTTTGGCGTCTTTTCTTGGGCGACAACAGCTGTTGCGGTCAGTCGTCTGTCGGCAGCAGTTGTGGGTGCTGTTTCGCTCGTTTGCTGTCATAAAGTTTGGTTCGCAATAAGGCGTTCGTTTTTGGTTCGCAAGAAGGCATTCGTCTTTTGTGTCACAAGAAGTTGTTTTTTTTTTCCCGTTTTCTCGCACAATATACACTACAGGTCTAAAAGAATTGGGGACCCTCTGAATTTAATAATTAGTAAGTTTCATTATTTCTTTGGTTTAATTAACTTCTACTAAGCTACGATGCTGAAACTATTTAACCCATTAGTACATACCAATCATTTTTTTTATACAGGCAGTTATCTAAAATTTAAAATCTGTCAGCCCCAAGATTACCATTAGCCAGCAAAAGTGATAGGCCAAAAAACCTAAAATTTTGAGGAAACTTCATTTTATTATTATTGAATATATGATAAAACTCTTTAGGAAGAAATGCCTCTGGCCCGAAGTGAGCTAGTAAATTAGTTTTGAAAAAAGCACGCAACCTTCAATTTTTAGGTGATGTTTTGAAATTCAGAGGGTGGTCTTGGTGTTTTGGCAAGACAAAATTGGTATTGACATTCATTTGTCCTCAGATTTGCAGGATTTAGAAATTTTAAATAAAACTCTCTTTATTATTTACATTTGGGCTAATGTCCTCATCTTCGTTGTTATTATCACAACATTTCAGCCTTTTTGTTCTCCAGTCTTCTTCAGGTGTGTGTTGATTTTGGTAACATTCAAGAAATTCTGAACTGAACCATTTATTTAATCTACCGTGTAGATTGTTCTCATTTAGCTGTTTGTGTTTAGGGATATCCCATCTTGTTCTTTTTATTTGTAGATAGTGACAATAGTTGTTGCTTGGGAAAAGTAGGAAAAAGACCTGCTGAATAATAGAAATTATGACTGTATATATATATATATATATATATATATATATATGAGAAAATATTTGTTGGCATACATGTCACCTAACTCATTAATTGTTTAACTTTTTGAACCCTAAACCCCTTATGAGTACTGATATGTACTTTCACACAGTGACCTGTATACTGAGTTTGAAGGATTCAGATTACATTAAGTACAGGTTAAAAGTACATAAGACTATGCAATTTTTGATATTTCAAAGTGCATAAATTCTTGTGATCTGACAATTTGGTTTTATTTTTGTTTATTATCTGAAGAGCCCAACTGGGAGAAACTATAGTAAGTGAACAAATGCTATTTTATTTTTTATTTGTAATTTTATTTTTGCTCTGATTTCAGCATTGGGCTCTTTATTTTACTGCAAGTTTGTTTTGGAACGGTGTATTTTTTTCACTGATTTTAACATTTATTTTGAATTAAATATATTTTGTTCATTATTTCATCTTTTTGTTTCATCCGTTCATATTTTTATGTTTATGAAAAGATTATTAAGATATTTTAAGTAAGAAATATTCAGGATATGAGATGAGGTAAAAATAAAATGACCTTCTTACTCTCCACTGATTTCTATTCATTTTTTTAAAAGTCTTATCTGAAATATTTGTTAACTCTTTAGGGCACTGTCTACAGTTGCAATAAAACAATTCATGATGCTCATGGTAATGTGGTCTTTACTGGAAGGCCTCATTTAAACATGAAAGAAGCTGTAAGTTTTGTTACAAATCATTTCTAATATTCCAAAGCTTGAAATATATAGTTCTGTTGATAGTCTCTAAACACTTGATTTTTACTAATAATCTAATAATTAATTTTTCTATAAATTAAAAACTAACCCTGTTCAACTAACTTTTACATCATTACTGTACTTATTTAATGCAAGTAATTTTATATCTAAACATACATACTGTCCTGAGTAAGATGTTAAACTACATCTGCGTCATGGGTAAGATGTTAAACTACGTCCATCAGCAAGGCCTCTGATCAGGAGGTTTTGAGGAGCATGGAACCACCTCTTAATTACTGGTGTTCCCAGGTCCACTCTGACCCGGGGTGGTAGCACCTGTTTGGGTCCCAGCTATGGGCAAATAGTTGACTATTACCAGCAATACTTTTTTGAAACAAATTATTACCAGCAATACAATTTTGAAGGAAAGATATTACCAGAAACAGATTTTTGACAAAACAAAATAGCAATAAAAAATTTTGTTGCCATTAATTAACCTATTGAGGTTGATATGCCATAAAACAAAATAAACCAAGCCAATCTAAACCAAAGAATACATATTCTATTCATATGAATCTATCCTAAAAATGTTGTCGGCATTAAATAACCCATTGAGGTTGATATGCCGTAAAACAAAATAAACCAAACCAATCTAAACCAAAGAATACATATTCTATTCATATGAATCTATCCTAAAAATGTTGTCAGCATTATATAACCCATTGAGGTTGATATGCCATAAAACAAAATAAACCAAACTAAACATATATGCATAGCTTTGTTTTGTTGATTGAGGCAGGACTGGGATTTATCTTATACAAAACAAGGTGGATCCTACCTGACAAAGGATCTGTCATAATGATTTGAGGCAAGGTTTTACAAGGCCAGATGCTCTTCTTGATGTCCAACTCAGGCACTCATTGTAGTCCAAGTACTCTGAGTGGTTTTATTGAGACACTATCTCTAGAAAGGTTGCAATTCAAGGCTTGAGATACCTCATTCTAGTTGGGAAGGTTGACATTATACATAAATATAATATTTGGGTCATTTTGTCTATTTATATCAACCTATTATCTTTTATGATCTAATAGGGCTGTGGTTGTTCTGGAAATAGGTATCTGTCTATATTTCTGAGATGGGGTATTGTAACTATTTACATTATTTGGACTATTGTCTTCATTTTTATTGTCATATTCATGTTGTTTTGGCTGTTGTACGCTCCGGCCTTCTTCGGGTGATGTGTGTTGGAATTTCGAACTGAACCCTTTATTTCATCCCCAAGGATATTGCCTCAGTGGATAAAAGTGTTGGTTGTAGAAATCCAGTGATTTGACCCAAAGAGTTGTGATTTCAATACCTGGCCACAAAACTTGGAGAGTTGAGTTACTAAATGGAGATAACTGAAACTGAGATATCCAGAAAAGGCATGGCATGTGGAACTAGAGCAATCTACCCCAGTGGACAAAATAAAGGGTTCAGTTTGAAATTCCAATGTGTATCACCTGAAGAAAGCTGGAGCACACAATGGCCAAAACATTGTGAATATGACAATAAAAATGAGGACAATGTAAACTAGGAATAGGTATAAATCAAAGTTTATCTAGTTTTCATAAAAATATAACTTTGCAGGTAGGTGCTGAGTTAGTGATATGTAGTGGGAACTGATCAGGATCTCAAATGCATAGCAGCCCTATGACAACACTTTGTCAGGGACTGATGATGATGAGTTAGCTAACCTGGTAAGGACAATGAAAATGAAATTAGCTGGATTATTTTTCTTTTTTTTTAATCAATTCACCCCATGCAAGGTGATAATGCCATTAAGATGTAAGAGGTTACTGGGAGCGAAAGAGAATGAGAAAACTTTAGAAGCAACTGGAAACCTAATCCCAAACAGGAAACCTCTACTCCTGTTGAAAATTTGGAGAGTAGTGTGGATTAAATTTCAGCCAATGTAGTTTGTAACTAATTTAAGCAAATGCCATAGAGAAGGGCATGAACATACCACTTGAAAAGGCCAAGACATGGATTATTTGTTTCTGCTAACATGTAACCTAATAAAACCTGTTAGTTGTTATTTGAAATTAGTTAAGCATTTAAAAGTAACTTACATTGACTCAAGAAATGCAATGGAAGGGACCAATATAGTATCTATTAACTCATGGAATAATTGGAATTGAAAAATCTTTTAATTTATTCTATAATTTGTCTAATAATTTTTTAAAAGCTTTTACTAACAATTTTTTTTTTTTTTTTTTGCTGCATGGGATCTAACTGCAGAGTTATTTCAGACTGTTATTCTCATCAGTGTTGTATTGGTTTATTTCATTGTTATATAATGGTAGGGTAAATACATTCATAGATGTTCTAAATGGATCCTGTCATAATTTTGTATCCTACTAACTATTGTAAAATACGATGAAGTGCTGAAAAGTTTTCAGACTAATCTACTGCCCAAAATCTAAGAGCTTTTCATCATCTTGTATTAATAGATAAGACAGATAATTGAGATTATTAGAATAGTCATAATAATTTTTTCAAGAATGTAGTTTTGATTTTGGGTGTAGTTTCATGGATCAGATGTTATGGGATGTATTATAAAACTATGATTCAGGTATTATGTGACGGGTCGTAAAACTATGACTCAGGTAAATATGTGTGGTGTATCATGAAACTCTATATATCTGGCATTATGTGATATCATATAACTATGATTCAGGCATTATATGATGTATCATCTAACTATGATTCAGGCATTATATGATGTATCATCTAACTATGTTTCAGGCATTATGTGGTGTAGTGATATGCAAATTAGTATAATTTGCATATGAGCAGGTAGCTCATATAATAAATGGACACCAACGAGAACTGAGGTGGAAGAAGAACTTAGTGGATACACGACATAACAATGGCGTCGCCGATAGGATACTCTTTGGTCCTTGAAGACCCAGAGTACGTAGACACGTGGATTCGTTGCTTTGCTGCTAATGCTAGATGTAAAAGTTGAAAGACAACAAAACAGAGGAGGGGAAAATGAAATCACCGACTTGTTCATGGCTACCGCTGGTTGTGAAGCGATTATGAAGGTTGCTACAATGGTTTACCCTCGAGAACTAGAAGAAATGACTTTCGAAGAAATAAGTCAGGTTATTAAAAAGGAAACATGAGGCCAAAGAAAAGACTGGTGATTGCAGAAAGGACCAAGTTTATGGCAATGAAGCAGGAAGTGGATGAACCGATAGTAAAAATATTTACACGGTTAAGAAGTGCGAGTAAATACTGTGAATTCGGGAAAAACTAGGAACAGGCGAGCAGACAACGGAAGAAGAATTAATCCAACTAAGATTAATTGATGGTATGCATAATTCGGCACATAGATATAAGTTAATGGAACAGTTACAACTTACAAACATGCCTTTGAATATGTGTATAGAATTTATACAACAGCAGGAATTAATACATACCTACAACCAAAATAAAAAATAAATCCTGAAGAAATAATGGCTGAAACATATACGGTACAAACAAAAAAAAAAAATTGTGCGTACTGTGGAAAAAAATTCATGAAATGAAAAAAAAAGAAAAATGCCCAGCCTTTGGAAAGACGTGTTCAAAGTGTTTAAAAAAAATCACTTCAAAGAAGTATGTAAAACGAAAAATGTGGAAAGAGTAGAGGATGAAAATAGACAGATTTTTAATGTAAAAAAAAAGGATAATATACAAAATACTGGATCTAAGAACAGAGATACAAAATAAAAGTGAAAATCAACGACTGTATTGTCAAAATGCAAATCGACACAGGTAGTGACGTCATTTTAGTACCCAGAAATTTGTGGGAAAAAATGGGAAAACCGTTTTTTAAAAAACTAACGTACAACTACGTCAGTTTGATGGCTCGATTATAGCAATTATGGGTTACTTTTTGAAGGTTCAATAGAATTAAAAGAAAAATATGAAATAGTACCCATTATAGTTACAAATTGCCGAAAACGCATGGACTACTGGGGAATGACGTGTTAAAAATAAATTCAACGAAGTTGATTAATGAGATAGAAATAGAAAAAACAGGAAAATTAAGAAACTATGAAGCTAGCCTGAAATTAAAAAAAAGATGTTTCCCCCTCCTACTGACGGTGAGAAAAATACCAGTGCATTTATTACCATTGGTAATAGCTAAATTGCGAAAGCTAATAAAGGAAGACTTATTAGAATCTGCCCCTCCAGGAGGAAGTAAATGGGCATCACCCATTGTGGTATTGAAAAAAAGATGGTGACCTGAGAATTTGTGGAGATTATAAAATAGGGGTGAACCATAAAGTTTGTGCTGACTCGTACCCTATTCCAAATGTGGAAGTAGCTTTACATAAGCTTGCTGGAATGAAAGTATTTTCAAGATAGACCTAAAATCAGCTTACCACCAAATACCGATAAATGAAAATTTTAAAGAAGCGACGACTATAAACACACCTATAGGCCTGTTAAGGTGGAAAAGAATGCCATATGGCATAAAAAGCGGCAAGTGCAATTTTTCAAAAAAGCTATTGAAAAAGTAATAGGAAATGTTGAAAATACCATCTGTTATCAAAGACGATATATGTGTTGGAGATTTAAATGAAGATGATTTAAAGAAAAAACTGAAAATATACTGAACCCCGGCTGAGAGACGCTGGTATGACAATAAATACAAAAAAGTGTGTAACCAACAGTAATGAAATATCATTTTTGGGTTACTCAATATCAAAGGAAGGATCTCTCAGATAAAGTACTAATAGAGAAAATTCTAAAAGTTGCTACACAAAAAAAAAAAAAAATTTGAGTCCTTCTTAGGTTTGGTAAATTTTTATAGAAAATATGTACCAAAATATAATGAGTTGACAGAGCCATTTGCTAAGTTAAAAAAAAAAAAGTGGAATTCATTTGGTTAGAACACCAACAGAAAGCCTTTGAAAACTTAAAACAGATTCTGGCAAAAAAGCCAATAGTACAAATTTTGACCCTAAGAAGGA